GCTCCTTCCCGACATTCTGTGTGCGCATGGCAGGCTCCCTTCCCCTCGTGACTCTGTAGTATTCCAGCTAGGAACATGCAGCTTATCCGTGCTGTGGGCGGGCACGTGGGTGGTTTCCAGTTGGGGGCTGTAAGTAGTTCCGGTAGAACACTCCAGAATGGGCTTGCTGCCCTCTTGCCTGGTGGGAATTGACCTAGGAGGAGAATTAGAGACGTTCAGCCTTAGGGGATACCATCCATCTGTTCCAAGTAGCTGTGCTCGTAGAAGCCTCCACCGGATGTGTGAGTCCTGCTTCCTCCGAGGCCTCGGCAACGCTGGTGGTTCCTGTCTTTGCCACTGTAGCCCTTCTGGCAGGTGGGCTGATGCCTCACTGATGAGCACCTGCTCAGGGTCCGCGGGCCGCTAGGATATCATTTTTTGTGAAGTGTCTGCTCAAGTCTTTTGCCCATTTTTTAAGTTGGGTTACCTGTCTTTTTCTTACTGATTTGTAGTTCTTTATACATTTCACTACGTCCTGATGGATTTTCTGCTTGATGTCTTCTGCGCGTTTCGTCTCACACCGATTGACACTCTTGTTGGGCGCATGTGTGGTAGGGGTTATGTTGTGGAGAACTGGCTCCTCCATCAGTACGTAACGTCCGTTTATCCCTGATAACCTTCCTTGCTCTGAAGTCGGCCCTGTTGGAAATTAATAAAGCAGCGACTCCTGCTTTATTTTGCTTAGTGGTAGCATGGTATGTCTTTCTCCACCTGTTTTCTTTCAATCTTTATACTTTTAATCTTTATATTTAAAGTGGGTTCCTTGTAGACAACATATAGCTGGGTCCTGTTTTCCAATCCACTCTGACAATCTCTGTGTTTTAATTGGTGCATTTAGACCATTGATATTCAAATGATTACTGATAGTTATTATCTACTATATTTATTAATGATTTCTATTTGAGGCCCTTGTTCTTTTTTCTACTTTTGTCTTCCACTCTTTTCTGCCTTTTGTGGTTTTAATTGAGCATTTCACGATTCCATTTTCTCTGCCCTCTTAGCATATCAGTTATACTTCTTTTTTAGTAGTTACTCTAGAGTTTGCAATATACATTTACAGCTAATCCAAGTCCGCTTTCAGATAACATTGTAGTGCTTCACAGGTAGTGGGGGTACTTTATAATAATACCACAGTAACCCTAATTCCGCACCGTCCCTGTGTCATCGCTGTCATTCATTTTATATATTATTAGCATGTATATTCAAGCACGATATATCCATAAGTACATACATCACTGGAACTATTTCGAACAAACTTTTATCTGCGAGATCAATTAAGAATAAGAAAAATAAAATGTTTTACTTTCACTTATTCCTTCTTTGATGCCCTTCCTTTATGTAGATTAAGTTTCTGACCTATATTACTTTCCTCCTCTCTAAAGAGTTTTTAACATTTCACCCCAGCGGCATGAGAGAGGCAGGCCAGATGGTGCATTCTAATACATGTGAGGGGCAGGCTGAGACAGGCCTTGTTGGCCTGGAGGTGACCCCACCTTCGGCCCCAAGCCCTGCTGTCCCAGCTTCCGACCTACAAATGAGTCTTGGGGCCTCGGCAGTGAGTCTGGCTCCCGCCTTATCCACTGCATGGCCCTTTTGGGACCCAAAGCGGCCCCAGTTCAAGAGCCTTACTCAACTGTGGACTCAGGGTGGCGTGTGCGAGTGGTCATCCCTTTCAGAATGTGCCCAGCGTCCCCAGGGGAAGCCATCTGAGCATCGAGGATGATGCGTTCTTCTCTTGGGGGGTGGGAGCCCTCAGAGAGTCAGGTTTGGGCTGTCGGCGGGTGACTGTGCCCATCTTTCCGGCCAGCACCCCTGATGGCCCCCAAAGCAGTGAGGACGCCGAGCACCGTGTTCCAAGAACTCCGGAAGGCAGAGCAGGAGGGGTGGCTGCATGGCGGGCCCCCCGCGCCCACCAGGCACTGGGATACTGTTCAGTTTAATGTGTTACTCATCCTGTTCTCTGTCTGCCGTGGGGGGACTGAGCATCACAGACACAATCAGACACAATGCCGAAACGGCGGCAGTGTCACCTCCAGCTGTCGAGTCATCCAGCCTGTGAAATGGAGCTTAGCTCTGCCACCGAGGGGACTGTCATTTCACACTCTGCCTACTGCTCGGGGAGTCGCCAAAGTTAGTCACAACATTAAGTCAGGAGGCGACATTTTTAAAAACAAGATCCAACAGCCTGCTGCCAGAGAGGTGGGCGAGGCCCTGCTAAGCACTTCTTACTACTTTAATTGGGGAGCCATTTGCACCCCCCAAGTGAAGATGCACATTCGGTTTCTTTTAAGTCGAGTCTAGTTTTCATCAACCATCTCAGTGAATAAATTCTGGCTGAAACGGCAACAGGCGGAAGTGGTTCCAGGTCTCACAGGAAGGTCAAGGTGGACTCCAAGCTGAGGCAGGGCATCTGCTTAAATTGGACTGTTTAACCCGAGTGTGTGTTTAATGTGCAGAGTGGCTCCCTGACTGCTCGCTGCAGACCCAGAAAGTCACTGCACTGTGTTCTAACCTCATGTGGAGATCAAAGCTAAAAATACTTTTTACATCCAGCTATAAATGGTCAGACATAATTAGCACACTTACAGAAACAAAAATAAATATAGGGCAGTGGGGAAGTGAGAGTCTCTAAAAGGAGGCGCAAACTTTTGAGTTTCACGGTTGCAGCAGTTTTTGGGGATCCCCAGAGTCCCAAGCACAGGTCTTCCAGAAAGCGCTTGCCAAGTGACCAACAAGCAGCGGCAGGGGAGCGCATACCAGCAGCTTGTCAGGGTGAGCAGGCAGTGGTACCGGGTGTATCGACAAAGGCTCATGGCAGGGCTTTCATGGTGAGTTGAAACTTTATTCTGCAACACACAACAGTTCAGGAACTGGCTGAATTCCATGAGGTGTCGCTCGGCTGTGTGTGAAAGGCATGGGTCCAAAGTGTGTGTGCTGTGTCTACAGTTTTTACAGGGGTGTACAAAGGAGAAAGCTGAAACGGTAACAAGGTTCTGGGTGATGAGTCCAGGAGTGCTTGCAAGATAGTCTGCAGTGAACGTCTAATGGGAAATATTTTTAAGTAGGCGGCAGCACTGGTGTGTTCAGGGGGCATCCTGGCTGTGCTGGTGGTGAACCGACACTTGGCGCTCACGTGGTGAGACTGACCCCCCCTCCCTCACACACAGCCATCCTGAGAATGGGGGACGCTGAGAGAAAGGCAAAGCTCCCTGCCTAGGACCAAACCGCAGGAGTTGGCTGGAGGGGTGAGGGGACGCGTAGGTGGAACGGAAGTTAAAGCAACAGCCCCGCCTTTGGAAAGAGACAACAGGAACCTGAAGTTTGATCCTGAGCACAGTGGTGAACAAGGACGGAGTCTTTGGGCAGAAAGGCTTCCCTTCAGGGCCCCCCTGGGAGAGCAGGAGCTGCTAGACGGGCTGCGGGGGTTCCCAGCTCTACCAGCAGCACCTCCCGCAAGACCGCCAATCAGCTGAGCTCGGCCAGGCCTGGTCTGCTGCACAGAGCTGTGCTGACCAGTAAGGCCTGTGAACCCCGAACCAGCGGCTGTCACAAGCCTGACTCCTCCACAGAAGCTCTGAACAAATCAGTTTCTAAGAAGGTCCCAGATAACACCCAAGCTCTGCCGGGTGGGGAGCCCCTTGTGTGGTCCAGATGACAGCCCCTGTGGGTTTCCAGCCCATGCTTCTCGCTTCTCTCTCTGCGGCTCCCTGGCCCTGCACACGTGTACAAACCCTCTGCGCCTCATCCTCCCAGCAACATCCTCGGGGTCCTGCAGGGACATGGGCGCCTTGCTTTAGCTGTCACCTTCTTTCCGTCCGTCTTGTCGCAGGGAGCTGCAGGAAGAGAGCGGTCTGACCGTGGACACACTGACCAAGATGGGCCACATTGTGTTTGAGTTTGTGGGCGAGCCGGAGCTGATGGACGTGCACATCTTCTGCACAGACAGCATCCATGGGACACCCACGGAGAGCGACGGTGAGTCCCAAGGCCTGTCCCTTCTCCACCGGGGTGAGGAGCCGGCACCCAGCAGCCCGGCCTCCTCTCCACCCCTGAGAGGCTGGCTCTGCATGGCGCCGGCACCCGACCCAAGCCCTCCTTGTCTGTGCCATGTCGGTCACAACCAAGTGTAAAAGTTTGTCACGTTCCTCCCACAGAACTGCCCGGTGGGTTCCTCACAAAGGCCACTTTAAACCTGCTGTTCTTTGCCCCCACTACAGAAATGCGGCCTCGATGGTTCCCACTGGACCAAATCCCCTTCGCTGACATGTGGCCAGATGACCACTACTGGTTTCCCCTCCTGCTTCAGAAGAAGCGGTTCCACGGGTACTTCCTGTTCCAGGGTCACGACACCATCGTGCACTACACACTGCGCGAGGTGGACCACATGTAGAGGCAGAACCGCCACCAGCACCCCCACTCCCCTGCGTGAGGCGGACCACGTGCACAGGCGGAACCGCCATCAGCACCCCCACTCCCCTGCGTGAGGCGGACCACGTGCACAGGCAGAACCGCCCCACCTCCACCCGAGAGAGAACCAGCTGCCGGACAGGCCCCCTGTTCGGCTCCCAAGCCCCGAAACACAGCCTAGGTCTTTTAAGTTTGTAACATGATCGGATGGAAAGGAAAATAAATACCATTTTTACCTTTTCAACATTTCTCACCCAGCCCCACCACAGCCATCCTGGTCCATCCTCAGGAAACCACTAGTTTGGCTGGGGTGACCCAGGCCACCGGAAACGGGAGGGGAGAAGACCCAGGCCCACAGGTCAAGGGGACAGCTTCTCTGACTGTCCCCTCAGTGGACTGCTGGTGGAGGGGCAACCAGCACTGATTTGCTCCGTGCCACAGACTCTTGTTGGCATCACGGAGGTGGACTAGTGGGTGTGTCCTCTCATCACCCCCTTTGTGATTCTTTTATAGTAGAGGAAACTGAGGCATGGGGCCCAGGCTAACGCATCATCGGCGAGCCACCCTCCCTTAGCCCAAAAGAACAGGGCCGTTTTGGCTCCGGTTTCTGGCCACGGCGGGGGGTGAGGGGGTGAGCGCACTACCCACTTACACAAAGAACTAAGAACTTGACCCAACTTTTATAAATGTTTAATAGTCCATGTTTACTGATGAAAAATCTGGGAACGTAGACCATCTGTAAACAATTCCAGTTTATTGGGTGTGGTAGTAATCGTAACTGATTCCTGCAGCCTGATAAAGTGCTTCACACGTAAAACTGACACAGCAAAGCCAGGGGAAAGGCCTCAGACACAGCCATCCTGACAGCCGGCGGCTCAGGGCCCAGACTCCATCTTCCCTTCCAGCCCTGCATCTTTGGCCAACGACCGGAGCGTGTCCTTGGTCACCACTGAGGGAGCTGGGCGCAGGCTGCTCCCACACCGCAGGCCCGGCTGAGGCAGCGGCTGAATTTCACTCCGGCCTTGAGGGAGCGGAAGCATCGCGGTTCCCGAGTGGCAGGAAGGCTCCCACGGGGATAACACAATCGGTGTCCTTTCACCAGGCAAGGCTGTGGTGGCACATGGGACAGCGCAGGCAGGAAGGGCAGAGGCGTGCAGGGTCCCCCGTCCTCCCAGCCTCTGCCTCGCAGCTGGAAGCAACCTCTCCACACCCCCCGCCCACAAGACAAAACAGAAAATGCCAGCCAACGGCCCAGGCTCAGGGCCCAGAGGAAAGCTCTGTGGGAAAACGTGGCCTCTGCCATTCCCAGCTGACACAACCTTCCCTATGTCACTCGCGAGCGTCTTCCTGTTGACCTGTACAGTGCCTGGGGTGGGAGGGGGCAGACTAGAAAGCGCCCCCAGATGAGCCTCCAAAAATGTGGCCAGGGCCCCCCAAAAGCCTGCTCAGTTCACGGCAGGGAGATGCCACCAGGAGCAGAGGCCGTTGGGACGTTCCCTTCAGAAAAGCACACTGAAGTCTTCGGTACTGGAATTCTCCACAGTGACCTGTGTAAGCAGCGCCTTAACCCTGTCACCCCCTCCAAGCTGCTGCCCTGCAGTGCGAGCTGTGCCCATCCCGCTGTCCCCCCTGCGGTAGGGCCTGGTTGGGGTGTCTGCGTAGTTCACTATCCGGCGGTGGCTTGTCCCTCGCCACCCACGACAGGCCCCAGGCAGATGAGCAGCAGCCGCTGAAGGACAGAAGCAGCCTGTTGGTCACGCTTTATGGCTCAAATGCACACAGTGCCAGAAGGAACCAGCCAGCCCTATGGGGCAGTTCGGATCTGCTCAATGTGCTGAGAACCCGTTTATACAGGAGATCAAAAAGCAAAAACAGCCCCCAAACAGCCTCTTCTGTCAGGTTCTGGGCGGGACGCTGCCCAAGAAGGCACATGGACACCGCAGGGCCTCAGGCTGGCGGCACAGCTAGCCTTGCCCCACACAGGCAGAATCGCGCTGGACGCTGAGGTGCATCAGCCTATCTGTGGGTGTAGTCACCCCAGAGCCCCCGCCTGCATCTCGGGGTCCTGCATGCCACAAGATGACATGTGCGGAAGTCAGACCATAGCAGACAGAAAACCCTGAGTCCGAACCTTGTCTGGCACCTCCCGGCTCATGGGACAGAGCTCCAGGGCGCCCGAGGGGCCAGTCTGCTCCACGGTCACCTTGATGGGACTCTGACCCAGAACTGCCGGAATGCGGGTCCCCTCAGCCCCCCAAAGCAGGTAGCTGGGTCTGCAAGTGCAGAGGAGGGGCTGGGAGGAGGGTTCTCTTCGCCCAGCAGTGAGGTCGGTTTTAAAAGGTTACCACAGCAACAGATGGGCATGCCCTCCCCTGCTCTGCCCTTCCGTCAAGGACGGGCATCTACCGAACAAGGACAGAGCAGCTCCTGGCACTTGGACTGGCAGCAGAAGCACCAGGTCACCTCTCCCGACACCTCAGACCTCGGCACTCAACAGGGTCACAGTGTGTGTCTGAGCATGTGTGTGTGCATGTATGGAGGGACATGGGACACTTTGCCCTAGAGGCCAGTCCCAGACCAGGGCCTCTAGGGCACTCGCTGGAGCTCATCCCCTGGAAATGAGCGCTGTTGGTGTGTCCAGCGAGCCCCGGGTCCCACCTTGCCTGTGGCTCCTGCTGCCGTTCACGCACTCATGCAGCCGCACCGCCCCCCACCCAGGGCCATCTGCTGGCCTCACTGACCAGTTACGTGTCCTGTCCAAGGTGTCCATCCTCGCTGCAGGGAAGTCCTGCCCTCCATAGGTTTTCAGCAGCCCTCTCCCCGCTCAGCTAATCCAGACGCCTCCCACCATCCCAGCACCCGCTCCCCAACACCATCCGCTGTGAAAACCATCCTTGCTGCCCTGCCCTCTGGGTATGGGGAGAAAACCAGGGCACCTTAACACTTCTCACCAGCAGACTAAAAGGCCACAGTGCCAAGGTCAGGGACAACCACAGCAGTCCCCGCATGGACGCTCAGAGGCCTGGGGTCATGCCCTTGGCCCTGCACCCCACACGGGGAGGGAAGCCATGGCACCTGGCCTGGCCTCCGGGCCTGACATCAGCTCTTCTGCTCGAGGAGCGGCAGCCCAAGGGGCGTGGGGGGCCAGCCGCCACCCGAAGGGAATTAAACAGGGACACACCATTTAGAAAGAAGTTTTAGTGAGGGTGCCGGGAGCTCTCGCCCCCGGGTCCTCTCGGCACTAGTGAGGAGACAGGCCATCCCTCGGGGACCTCGGCGGGGTCAGGGTGCTGTTGGGTCCAGCGAAGAGGCAGTGGAGCTTGGGCTTCAGGTCGTCCCACACCTTGCTCATCTAGAGACAGGGAGGAGGGGAGCGTGAGCCGGGCAGGGCAGGCGTCAGGCCCACCCCCAATGCACCAGTTCACACGACACCAGCCGCGTGCCTCGAGACAGCCTGTCTAGTAGCTGTGGTGACATAGGTCTAGTGCCACCACAGACCTGTGTCACCTCCCCCAGAGGTGCCTTCCCACTCCCTGCTCTGCAGCCCATTCCTTCAACAAAGCCCAAATGAGTGGGCACAACACCAGAGGTCTCTCTGTCCCCTGAACGCAGGACCAAAGGGGCAAAAGTCTGCTAGATAGGAACTTTAAGAAACGTGTCATTTCTAGCACGCTAACAGCTCTGCGAGTGCTGGCCCTCTGGCTCCGCAGGACACACACCAAGTGATCACACAAGCGAACGAAACGCAGCAGAGACAGGCCATGCCGCCAGCGCCTGCCAAGCACTCGGGACCCAAGTTGACAAAGGGAGACCGTGGGCATGAGGACCAGGGAGGCTCTGGTAGCGGGTGGCGTGTCCGAGATCAGCACTGGTGGCAGAGTGGCTCATGTGACAACAGAAAAGCAGAGTGCAGCCCTGGAACCGTGCACATGAGGCGGACTCCCGTGTCCACGTCACGAGACCGGGGGCTAGTCAATCACCTACACTAGAGAAATCTAGGACCAGGGTCCTGACAACCTAACCCAGGTGGGACGCAGACTCAGCTGGTGTCCCCTAGGTGTCTATCCTTGTCGCCTGGTGTCCCCCTAGGGTCCGCCCATCCCAGAGTCACCAGGTTTCCCACTAAAAGCACAGCTTCCTGAGTCCTGGCCCCCAGGGAGTCTGAGTCAGGGCTGTGCCAGCATCTGTACCCCATAATCTGAGTGTTGAATGAACACTCTGGGTGGTTGTGGCACCAGGGGCTCAGCTATCCACTGACCCGGTAAGTCACATTTGCCTCCCCTCCCGACTGTATCGATAACCTCCATCTCCTAGCCTGCAACATGCTCTCCAAGCTGCGCCAATGACCTTTCTGAACTACGTGTCTGAGTTCCTTCCATACACTGCTCCCAGCTCCCTAGCCCCCAGGCAGAGCTGCAGCATAGGAGACCCCACCCCCGCTGCCCGCCCAGGCCTCCATCAGGGCATGAGAAGCCCGTTCCTCTCCAGCCTGCAGGCCGGCGGGGCTTCCCATTAGTCTGTGTAGTGCCTGGTGACAGGGATAGCCTGGTCCAACTGTGCGCCCAGCACGGCCACAGACCTGGCACTGAGTGGCTACATGCAGCCCAGTTCCCACCGAATCCCCAAGCCTCTTGGGGAGGCTGGGGTGGTCATTTTTCATGCCATTTTTCAGAATGGGAAACTGGGTCACAGAAGTTAAATGATCCCATCAAGGCCGTAAGAGCTCACGACAGTCACTGGGATTTGAGACAGGGTTTTAGCAATTCTGAGCCTGGGCTCCCCACACATGTGTCAGGGAGCTAGAGGTGGCAACCAGCAGACACACCCTCCGAAAAGGTGACTGTGACCCCAGGGTTATCACAAAGGAGCCATGATGGCCCAAAACAGAAAGCGGAGGGCGCAGAACTGCACTGAGCCGGCAAACAGGACTGGACAGGGGTCTCCTCCTAAGTGTCCCTTCAGCCCTGGCCAGACAGGACCCCAGGCTGCTCGGCGATGGACACGTGTCACTGATTGAGAAGGGTGAGGCAAGACCCAGTGACACAAGCTAGAGCGATGGCTCTCGATAATTCAGGCTAGGCGAGTGCTGCTGCGGCTGGCAACGTCTCAGAACAACATTGTTCGTTTGTCCCCACAGGCATTAGGAGCCCCCATGTGGTGAGGCTGGCCAGGGTTTTCAAGGGGACATGCCAGCTCTGTCCCCTACCTGAGCTCTGATTCCCACCGTCTCTCCTCTCCACTTCTCCCAGTTCCTGGGGATCCTGCGTGCTCTACCTGACTTTGGGGGTTCCTCCAGATGAGAAGTCGTTCCTGCCAGGCTTGCTCTGCTCCCCCACCCCAGATCATGAGGACAACCTCAAGACTGGCGCTCTGGCCACTGGGAGACTAGATGTGGACGATGCTTTCCATCCCATGCTCACCCCAACCCCACTAACTCTCCTAAGTCATTCTTCAAGGCTGCTTGCGAGGGCTGCCAGGCTTGCAGGAGGGGCAGCACAGAGCGGGGCGGGGTGGGGGAGCCCACCTCCTTGTGCCCTTGGATCTGGGAGTTGACGAAGGCCCCGAGGATGTGGGAGGTGAGGGGCAGGTGCGTGTGGACCAGCTGCATCTCCTGGTGCAGGCAGTACAAGGAGAAGTGGTTCCGGAGCTCCATCGTCTGGATCGCATTCTCCTGCTGCAAAGCAAACGGCGTCCCTTGCTCGCAGCCCGGTGGACAGTCACAGCCAACACGCTGCCGTCCTCCTGGGCCCAGGGGCTCCGGCCCTCCCTCTGTGTAACTGCCACACAGCCCAGCCAGGCGTCCAGAGGTGCTGAGGGAATGCCGAGGACAGCCACGGTGCGGCTCCAGCTCTGGGGTGCAGCCGGGCCAGGTGTGGAAAGGCCCCCAGAAGGCAGGTCCCGGCACCCGCGCCCCACGCGCACCCCGCCCCCAGCACCTCCACGATGCGCGACTCCAGCTGCTCCACGGACTCAGGCTCCCGGCCGTGCACAGCGGCGCTCATCTGCCTCTTCATCAGAGTGTACTTGTGCAGGGCCCGCTGGTGCTTGTGCAGCACACCCTTCTCGTGCCGCTCACACAGGTCCTGCGGGGGGCACGGGCAGCGCTGGGACGGGCTCCTCCAGAAGGCAGCTCGCCCAGCCCCGCTCACTCGCTACACGCGCCGACGTGTTCATGGCACAGCACCTCGGGGCAGCAGGCCCAGGCTCCCACCGGGAGGGCGTCGCGGTGCGAGTCAGCACCACAAACCAAAACCCCTGTGAAACGGGCCGCGCGGGCAGGCCACAGCCCAGAGCACGGAGCAGCGCCCACCGCGGGGCGGACGATGCGGGGACACCACACGAGGCCTTCCTCCCGCCACGGCCCTGGCTCCCGGGCTCCTTGGCCATCCCCCTGGCGCCACACCCGGTGACATCACAGGATCCTCAGCAGCTCTGCGCCAGCCAGGGAGCCGCCCAGACTCACTCTGTAGGATTGCAGCAAATCCAAGAAGAGGTTCAACTTCTCCACCACATCGTTCTCTTCCTGTTTGCCCTAGAAAACGAGGGCGGGTCAAACAAGGCCCCGCCGGGGCGCGCAGGCCACGGCTGGCCCTTCCACGAGCACCAGCTACCTCTGCACAACAGACCCTCCCACACAACCACCCCTGGCCACGAGGCAGAGAAGCCCCGGAACCCAGCAGCTTGTGACAAGAACAAGGGCCTCCGCCCCAAGGCCGCCTGGCGCTCGTGCTCGCCGTGCAGCACTGCATGTCCTTCCAGTGTTCCAAAGCCATCATCTCCCCGGCACGCACACCAAGACAGCTGGGTGCTCCCACCCCCGGGGCCACCAGCACTCCGCCCACACCACAGGAACCTGAGTTTCCATGTGAAGCTGGGCGCTTATGAGAAAGGGGAAGCAAACGGGAGGGCTGCTGCGGGACTGAGGGGGTCACGGCAGCTCCAACTAAAGGGAAAACCGCACAGGCCCAGAGGGGACAGAGACAGGCGACGGTCTTCAGCTGCAGAGGGAGCGCACCTGAGAGGTTCCCTTTGGCACAGTGAACACAGAAGTGTTAGCGCCTAGGCTGGCACAGTAGATGACGAAGGGCCGCCTGCAGCCACACCGAGTGGCCCAGGAGGGGAGGGGCGGGCCAGACAGGCGCTCACGTCTGCATCCCACACACGCCTTGGCACACAGGCGACAGACACCGCAATCAAGACAGGCCAACAGGTGCATACGGAGAGCCCGACAGCTCACTTCCGAAACCACAGAGGCCCAAAGTGGCATTGGATTGGGGGTGGGGGCCCTGGGGAGGTCATGCTCTTGGAGTCATCCACCGCGTCCTGGGGACACAGATGTGACGAGGTTGGCTACACACCTCTCCCAAATGCAACGCCAGCACCTCTGGGAAACCAGGTCCCTTTTACAGCCCCTGAGCTCCAGCCGTGGCAGATGGCACAAAGCTCATGCCATACACCACAGAGGGCGCAGCCAGAAGCAAGCAGAAGACGAGAAGACATGAAGAGGAGGACCAGTCTGAGGGGGTGCACACACACTGGCCTGGGAGCCAGCAGCTCCTGCCCAGGCTCTGGCACTAATTCGGGGGACCGTGGGCCCTCAGGCCCACTGAGCTCCGAGGTTGCAGGCCACTCCACCCCATACCCACAGCAGAGACTCTATCCAATAAGGTTACAGGCAAGTCCCCACTGGCCACAGGTGCCCTGGATCCTCCTGACTGGGCAGAGGGGCACAGACTGGAGGTCCGGCCCCTGGTCTATAGCAGCAGGGATTCCGGGGTCCCCGCTGCTCGTGTCATTTGCTAACAAGTCCCATTTCTCATTCGAGCTGCACAAGACCCTAAGCCACTAACCCCTGTGCCTTTACCACATCCTGTCACCGTGGAGCAAACAGCCCCACGTTGAGTCTCATTTGTCCGGCCAGGCTGGTTATCTAGGTCTCCTAACAGGTCCGGGAAAAGAAAATGAGGACACGTGAAAACAGCATTAGGAAAACAAGCCCTCAATGTCTTTACTTGTTCAGCAAGAGTGAAACGGAACTCTGCTGCACTGGAAGTCCTGATGGGTCGTTTGTCTGACCCAGTTTCATGCTAAAACTATTAATTTCAGTATTCAGGAAATAAATCCTCTTCAGATGTTAATTTCAAAGCAGCATTGATGAGAACAGACCAGAGAACCTTGGACCCGCGAGGAATGGCAAACTGCAGACTTGTACTGCCTCAGAAGCCTGACCACCCCCTCTTCAAGGTGGAAACACAGCACCCACACCTGAATCAGAAAATATCCTGGAAATGATCCAGTTAGGGATTTGCACCATGTGTGGGGATTCGTGGTGCCCTGGCCCACTCAGCCCAAACCTCACCGGCTCCCTGGGAAGAGGGTGCTGCAACCAGGATAGCTTCATTTCCATGTTTTACACACTGAGCTTTGAGTAGATTCAACAGATTCACAGTTTTTTTAACAATCTAGTCCAGTCCGCTTGCTTTTAACTGATGGGTAAACTAGCCCAGGGACCAAAGTAACCTGCGCGAGGTCCCAGCACAAGACACTGCCGAGCGCAGACCAGGCTGCCCGGAGCTCACCCGCCTCTCTCTACAGCCTCGGTCCTCCCTCCGTGGAAACACGGGCACCTGTCAAGACCTGGAGAGGGCCCCAGGTCCAGCGCCAATTCCAAGAAACGCCAATGCCACCCCATACTCGGTTTCTAAAGGGAACACACAGGCACCAGGACCACAGAGCAAGAAAACCCAGGACTTTCCACAGGAGCAATGAGATCGTGTTCCCTTTCAGCACTTGCAGATGTCCTGGGCACTGGAGCACCCCACCTTGCACCTGAAAAGCCCCCAGTTCCAGTCACAGAGCCACCACGGCCACTGTGGTTCTCAGACTTGCCACTAGGCAGCTCTGACTTTCAGGCAGGTGGCAAGGCCTTCACATCACATTGTTTTAATCCTTTTAAAACCATCTCCTAGCAGCCTAAAGACCATTTCCCCAGGAACCAGGCAGCCGACTCTCACTCTCAGAATTAGGTAAGTTTTATAGCAGAAAAGCGCCTGGATGAACCCTCCTGCCTGGCGGAAACACTGCCTTCAGATTAACCCCGGATGATTACAGGCTCTTTGCAGATTTCTACAAGTAGCCCCTGCCCGTGCGGCCGAGGCGCTTGCTGAGGTTACCAGGTACCTAGGGCGACAGAGGCTCCAGAATGCTGGAGCTCAGTCCGTTCTGTGGTTAGCAAGTGGCCAATACTGATCCGGTCCACCCAGAAGTAAAGTCCAAGATGACCTTTTCAAAGGCAGATAGATTATAACTTCTCCGCAAAGTCTCAAGAGACCAGAACCCAATTTGTTTTTGTCATTAGCAACCCTCTGAAGAGCGTAAATGGCCAAGGGGAGCAAGCCAGAGCAGATGAGGACATGCAGTCCCAGCCCGAGGGCAGCGGTCCACTCGCTCAAGACTCAGCTCTGATGTCCATCTAAGAAGGAGGCGCTCCCACAGGCCAGGGCACAGTGTTCTTTGGGACGGGTACACAGGGCCATTCACTCACCTGCTGTGCAGCCTTGTCAGCAAGCAGTGCAAACTCAACGGACAGGCCTCTCAGTGCGTGTTTCAGGGAACCCCATGTGCTGCTGCTCAGAGTGGTCCAGGAGGGGAGCGGGGTCGTGTCAGACCCTAAAGCACTGAGGAAAATGGAACACACAGGACACACGCTACTCAGGCTTCGAAGCTGACCAGCAGCCCAACGTGACACCTCCCTTTGCCCGAACACCATGTCCTCCCAGGATGACCAGCACGTCTCCTGCCCTAGAGCCATACTACTCCCGCAGGAAAACCTAGGTGCCTGCTGGGAAGAGGGGATCTCGGCCCCCAGACCCGCTGAACCAGCTCTTCTCCACAAGACCCCTAGCTGACGTGTGCACGGGCAGGTCTGAGCAGCACATGTGGGAGACTGCTAGGGAGGGCGGAGTCCGGGGTGATGACCCCGCCTCTCCCCCAGAGCAGCGTCCCTTCTGAGGTCAAATCAAGCTTTTCTGAATCTAATCCTGACACTGGGAGAAATGACAGGAGAAACTGGCAAGCATTCGTGTGTTTGGGAATCCACATGTCTCTGCCCACATTCTCCACCCTTTCTCTTCTAAGTCTGATCTCCCATGTGCCCAACCCTCTTCTTCCCCGTTTGGAGTGAAACAGGTCAGAATGAGGGTTGTTATTATGGTAAATGCACCGTCTGCTCCAAGCCCAGCACCAGTCTGAAGAACCCTCCCCACCTAACCGTCCGTGGACCCTAACAGGGCCACCTACCTTAACTCCTTCCCGAATATGAGAAGGTCAGCAGCATTGTCAATGGCCCTCGTCGCAATCCGCTCAGTCCGATCGCGAATCTTGTAGAAGCTGTTGTAGATATTTCGGATCAGCTCACGGCTCACTGCGAACTGAGTCTGGATGTCAGCTGGGAGGAAGTCCTGACAGGTGAGGACAGAGGAAAACTGGATATCACCAGACAGGAAACACCTTTCAGCAAAGATGGCCCTAGGATGTGGAACAACCCATCCGACTGAGCAGGTAATGAGCCCAGAATCCCAAGTCCAGGCCCTGTGGAGACCAGCCCGCCTTCACGTCTAAAAGAGAAACAGAAGCATCACCGCGTGTACAGCACAAACTCTAAGCTGGATGGCCCCTGAGGCTAAGGCTCTAGGGTCCACTGAAACTGGATCAAACTCGAGGCCCTGCCAGAAACACGCAGAGAATAATTGTCCAGCTCTAACAGGTGAGGCAGAATTCTGAAAGGCTCTCCAGCCAAGAGGAGGCCTCTGCAGTCCTCGTTTATGCCCTAAGAATGATTTTTTACCAGCTTCGATCTTAACTAGTACTAACTGTGTAATGCGTAGAAAACAGAAAGCTTAGGAAATAAAAACAAAAGAGTCTGTATTTTTATATGGAGAAGCAGTTTAAGAAAGAAAAATCAAAAGCTACCATATAGCTACCTTAATCCTTTTGAGAAAAAGACCAGATTAACTAAATTTTAAAATAAACCAATGCTACAATCAATTCCCTGAAATCTGAAAAGCTGGTGACCAAGCGTATGTCCACCTGCGTGACAAAGAGCCTCGGGACGCGGTACGAGAGCCAGGGGGCTCTGTGCACAGGCAGCTCAGGCCCAGGCAGGCCCTCCTGCTCAGACGTTTGCAGCCTTGGCAAGTGGCAGCCTCCCCGACCTGTCCCGTCGTCTGCACATGGGTGCGACACCCACCATGTTACAGAGCCATTGAAATGAGGGTTACGTGAGAAAAGCACGTGACAGGTTTTGGCATAATCTTGGCACACGGAAGATGCAAAGTAAACGCTGTTAAGTGTGAATGTGATTATTGGTCTGATTAAAGGGAAGGCATACCCGAAGCTGGACAAATACCTTGGCCCGAGTAGCCAGTTTACAGTTCATGAATTCATCTCCAACACCCTGAGCCGATTCCTTTAACTTGCTCTGTACATCCTGCAAAAGGAAGAAAGGAGCAACGTGACCCCCTACCAGTCACATCGGTCAGTGTGAGGCTGACTCAGCCCATGAAAAGCAGGATCCAGTCCTCCCCCAAGAGAAATGTGTCTCCATGTGTGTTCACTTTAACGTAAGTATTCGGTAATCTCGTCACTGTCTCTTGTTCAGCATTTTTTCCACTGAGCTTAATGAAGCCTGAGGGTGGCTGTCCGTGGGCAGGAAACCCTGACTTAACCCCAGCTCTGACGTGGCGCCCTCTCTCCAGGACAATGGTGACCCCATGTACAGACCCAGGAGGTGAGGCAGGTGTCGGGTTCATTACGTCCTGTTAGGCCCACATGGGACACACAGATGGACGCTAAGGTCTCTTCCTTCCTGTGAATAGGCCCACAGGACAGGGGACCCCAGGCCCCCGGGAGAGCTGATGGGCAGAGAGGGTGGCACTCGGGGTCCTGAGCCCAGCCCTCTGAAAGGAGGGCTCCTTGGCAAAGCCATGGCATAAGAAAAGATCCCACAAAGAGCCCCGGGAATTACAGAGAGGGTAACTGGCAGCTGTTGATGGGTCAGTGATCTAGAATTTCAGAGGTGCCTTGAAGGTCATCTGTCCTAATTCTCTCATTTTACCAAAAAAGAAAATGGAGTCGTGGAGTCGGGGAGGTTCCGGGGACGCCCTGTCTGTGTAAAGGCAAGGGGTCAGGGGAGCTTAGCCTGTCCTGACAGGACGTCACCCGGCACTGTGCCCACCGCACCCGCCACACCTCCTCTGCCTGTCTTGAGCTGCTTATAGCTCAGCTCCCACGTCCCTCCACATTCCTCTCTGGCAACAAAGTTCTCTGTTCCAAGGGAAGCTGTCCACCCGCAGGGAACAAAAGCTCCACATGCCCAGCTCACCGGTGGGTCGCAGCAAGCGTTCACGAATGCCTGCCATGGATCCCCTAGAGGGGGCAGCACCCAGAGTCCCCCAGGAGAATCACAGTGGGAAAGCCCGCAGCCTTCTCTAGGGGTGAGAGGCCGCTTCTACACTAGGAGGCGAGAGGGAAAGGAAGCCGGGCGCGCCCAGCTCCACCTCTGACCCTGGGCCTCTCTGAGCAGACTGAGGGCGGAGGCCAAGCCCCTTCCCAGGTCCCACCAGCAATGTGTCCTTGGAGCCCCCCTCCACCCCAGCCCACAAAGAGAAGACCTCTTCCTATAAAAGAGCTGACAGCCCCAGGGACAAGGTGCCAGCCAAGGTGGTGTCTTCCTCCTCAACCGGGAACGAGGTATGCCTCAGCTTCCTGGCCCGAATCTTGACTGCATGACAGCAATTTGGAGGCAGAAACCGCCGCTCTGGTTTCTAACTGAAATCACTGCATGCAGAGGCTGCTCCCCGGGCCTTGCGCCTGTCCCCAGCGCTGCTAAGGAGACTCGGCTGTGTTTCCAGCGGCTCGTCGCCCAGCATGGCCTTTTTCGGTAAACTCTCACTCGCCTCTGCAGTCTCCAGCACGTCCAGGAACCCCCACACACACACACACACACACACACACACCACACAGCCTTCTGTGTATCAGCTTCAGAGCCCACGGGACTGCACTGCCAGCCCACCTCTCCCCATGGACGCAGAGCCCTGCCAACCCAAGCCCAAGGACGCCTCTGAAAATCATACCCAACCTGCTATTTGGGAAGACAGTAAATCTTATTCATGGCAGTCATGTGCAAAATAGACTCCTTCAGGGCGGCAAACAAGAGAAATAAGAAAACATCGGGGAAACAGAAGCCCAGGGAACCCAGGATCTACCCACGTCTCTAATGTACTCACGGGACCACTAAAGGCCAGGAACAGCTTGAGGACGACGTCCTCGCAGAAGCGGGGGTGCCGGGCCACCAGGTTGATAAAGCGCTTCAGGGCTCTCCTCCGGGCCTCGATGAACTCCCTGTCGGCTGAAGACAGGGCACACGTCACACAGACTGCCTGGTGCACGTGCCCCCCTCCGGCCCGACACGGGCCATGCTGAGAAAGGGGCCAGGAGCAGGCCACGCGGTCAGCCCAGGGAACCGGACAACACACCCAGAGGCAACAGTCCCCCACCTCCTCACCCTGTCCCCACAGACACACCAGGGTCAGGAACTGCCTAGGAAAACCACGGAGTCTGTTTGTTTCAATCAACAGTATTTGATCCCTACCTCAAACCATCTCAATTACAGACGTCCTCTATAATCCTGTAACAAACAGGTGGGGTTTGCTACACCCGTTATTTCACCCGTTTTCCTACTCACATCGCTTAGAACTCACTCTGCAGTGGATCCAATTATTAATTGCTTTCACTCAGTCACCTATTTTCACTTCAATGAAAAAAGGTAGAAGTGTACACTGATACATTAAGGGTATTTAAGTCCAACCACAAATAGAAATAGTATCTCAAATATTACTTTTAAGTTATTGAAAAATGCCCCTTGGGACCAGCAGGAGCCCTTCTACAGAAGGCTGCACTGTCATTAGCGCTGAGCCCCACCGTGAAGCGTTTGCGCCCAGTTTCCAGGTCCGAAACACTAGCTACCCTTAACGGACTCTGATGGTGGGTTCAGTAAGCATGTGCCTACCCCAAAATGTTTTCGTCTCTACTGCCCCGAGCATTCCTTCCCCTTCAATGGGACGTGATTTGCTCTGTAGTGCTCACGTGGGACGATAAGAAAATTACATTCTCTAAACTCTGGGCTGGCCGGTGACCAGTGAGAGGCAAAAGTATTTACATACAATTTTGAGACATTTCAGAATGCTGACAACTGGACTACTGCATTAAATCCCAAGCTATTTCCCAATTCAAGTACGTTGTTTCTTTAGATCATCAAGAAAATGGCAGAAAAATCAAATGGTCGACTTTGAGCACTTGCCTTCTCGAGTTTTATTTAGAATTTGGGAAGAGGGCTGTGGGAGAGGATCACTGAGAGCATGAGGAGGCGCCGCCCGCGCCCCCGGCAGGCCTGGGAGAAGCAGGCCGTGCAGCGGGCCTGCGACCTGTGGTCTCACCTCACCCCAGGTAACTACAGGTGAAGCAACGAAGATGTGGCACTTTTGATTTTCTTTACAATGCAGGTTAGTCACCTCCCTTGCGCTTACTTCCGTGTTCCCGGGAGAGACCACCTAATGCCATGGTGCTACCCACTGCTTAGTTGCCCACTCTTTGCAAGAGTGGGCAAAACAAACAGTGCACCTGGTCCCCCACTCAGGAGCCACGGCCAGGAAGGAGAACTGGGGTACACTCTTTCTTCCTTGCACAATGGGGGCCTCCCTACATGTCAGTTACCCAGCAGAAGGCTCATGTAGGTCAAGGGTACCAGGTGACGTTGCTATCCCCGCACCAGGCCAGGGAGCTAAGTAAGGTACAGCTGTGACCCCGGATAGCGGAGGGGCTGGTACTGCAGCCCTGCTGCCAGCCCTCCTGCTGGGGCAGAGGGCTGGAGGAAGACTCAGATGGCCACAGGCAGAGTGGTATCCACCACAGAGCCAGGACCTCAGCACGCTGCGGGGGGCCCTTCCAGACGCTCGTCCCCTCCCCGACCTCC